TGAAACTATTCAATACAGAGTAGCAAAGAATAACAAAATCCTGGGTTTACCTTCTTTACTGGATAATTTAAAAAGGACTGTTCTAATAAAGTGGTAAAAAAGGGCATAATATTCAATAATTGATACAAAGAGCTTCTAAATGTTACTGCACTCTGACCTAAAAATTTCACTCTGATGATTTACACTTAGAAATAATGTGGGTGAAGATTTGCATATAGGACTTCTTTGCAGCACTATTTCTAACAGTGGAGAATTAGAAATAATACCACGACTCAAGGGAGGGAGTGTTTAAATAAATCCAGGTACATCCATCTGGCAAAGCATTATGTCATCACTAGGAACAGTCAACAGGAAAACCATGTAGTAACAGAAACACGGCAAAATGTGAAACAAGCAGCAGGACCGAGTGAGCAGGAATCCAACTGTGTGACAAGCGTGTCTGTACCCGACCAGACACGGAATGGAGGAAGTGTGGCTGCATCTGGCTGGGAGGTTTCTAGAAGAATTTCTCTCCACTATTGAAACTTTTACTGTGGCTTAATCTAGTGTTTGTACTTTTTTTGTTGTTATTGACTTAAGAGCTCCTCAACATCTTTATTTTTAGGTCATTTTTTTAGAGCTTTTATTTAAAATACTATGAAAATGTCAAGGAAAAAAACCCCTCAAGATTGCACTGCTTAATATCCTGCCTCATCGTACATTAGTTATACACGAAACAAATGTTAACTGCATTTTGCTAAGTACATTTCAAAAATGGAAAACACCACAGTATTTTTCTAAGCAGTGCATATAAAAGTTTTGGTCAAACAGGGATTTGTGACAGCTAAGTCTCTAATTGCAATTTCCTTCAGATGAGCATCTTCCTATGACGTGGCAGGTATTTATAAGTAGAAAACATATTCATATTCCATCCCCAGTCCTAGGAGCTGACAATACAGCATTGAGTAAGGACAGGACTGCACGGGCCACTGTGAGGAGGGCAGGGGAAACACACTATCAGCAAGTGCACCCAGGAAGACAACAGCTGGGAAGGGATGGAGAGTAGCAGTGGTGATGATGGTGGTTACCTAGAATGAGCCTGGCAGGAAACTCAGACATGGTGACATGCAAGCAGAGACATGAAGGAAACAGGGTCAAGTCCAGCAGCAATGCAGAAGAGGATTCCAGAAGTGTAGTGCTGTGCCAAGACCAAGTTTTTGGGAGAAAACAGGGCACATGGCAGAGTGGCAGGGTATTAAGCCTCAAAGACCACAAAAGAGATTTTGCTTTGCAGTCTCAGGAAGAGAGTAATGAGAAGATTCCACGCAGAGAAGTAACATGGCCTACCTTCTGGTTTTATCACAGCACTCCTGTCCAACAGAACTTTCTGTGATGATTGAATATTCTTTATGTGCACTAGAAAAAAAGGCATTCACTAACTCTGGCTGGCTATTTAATTTTAAATCAGTTAAGCCAACTGCTGAGGAGGCAGTGTAGGGACTAGTCAGAAGGCCTCTCAAATGAGGCTGGAAGCAATGGTGGATAGTCAGGGTTATGGTAGTGGTGGCGCTAAGATTTGGTCAAGTTCTAGATTTATGTTTTTAGGGGAGGATGTGGACTGTGGTGGTGAGAGCAGACAGGATTAGTTTCACGGCTACGGCCTAAGCACAGAATTGGAGTACCACAGACATAGTGGATAACTGCAGTTCTGAAGGGGGTTTAAGAGGGAATGTGAAGTTTTGTTTTGGACATGTTAACCTGAGATGCCTACTGGGCTCAGTAGTAGTCTGCAGGGCTGAGAAGATGTGGCTAAAGACACAATGCTGAAACTGTCATTATTTCAAGTCAACTAACTGGATGAGCTCGCCCAGTACTGAAGAGAAGAGGATGAGGAAAAGAGGCTCAAGGACTGAGACAAGGCCGTGTTGGGGAGGTGAAGAGGAACCTGCAAGGGAGATGGAGGAAAGGCAGACAGAGAACCAGTCAAAATGCCCAAAAGCCTGATGAGCAACATGGTGGCCAAAAAAGGAAGGGACTGGTCAACCATAAATGCTATTGACCCATCGCCTAAGAGTCTGGAGAACAGCCCAAGGCCTCCAACAAAACCAAAGATCGCCTCACTCACTCACTCACTCAGCTGATCCTCCAGTGAGTTTGAAGAGGCTTCACATTTGCACGGGAGGAGTCTGCCATCTTTCTCCTGAGGAGCTGTGGGTGGATTTGAACCTCCAGAGGTGCAGCCGTTGAGTTAATCAGCACAACTCCCTACAGTGGACGACTCCCTCTGGTTGGAGCCCTGCCACCATCTTGTCTGGACGACCCTTGTAATCACTCTCCTTGCCTGTAGCACTCTGTCTCTCAAACACAGGCTCTTCATTACTGCTGCTGTTACCCCTGCTCGCATCGAAGGAGACTAACTCACATTCTGAATCCTTACAGGGGCTTCTCAGCATCTATTCTGCTCCTCAAGTCTGTGGTTATGGCCAATGAGTGTCTCTAGTCAATTCTGACACACAACAACCCTACAGGACAAAGCAGAACTGCCCCACAGGGTTTCCAAAATGTTCACCTTTATGGAACAGAGAAGCGCACATGTGCTCCACAGAAAAGCGGGTAAGTACTAACCTCCTGGATGGCACCTGAGCCCTTACTCACGGAACCAATAGGCTCTATCTTTGTCCAAAACAACTTATTGCACTCTTCCTACCAAGGACTGGACCGAAAGGGGTTCTGTGCTAATGAACCGAAGCTACCCAGAGCTGCCATATATGATTTAAGTCAAGTCTCTTCCCTTTATTAGTCCTAGAACTTTCCTTACACACTCTAGTTAGCATTTTAGCATAGCTTAAACAGGTATGTCTTGGAGAGGGAGCAGGTGGAGTACTCTTTGGAAGCAAGAATGATGAGGGGGTGGGTGAGGAGGGAGAAAAGTGCAACAATGAATAAAAGGAAACCCTAAGCTTCATAAACTTTCTTTAAATTTAATAAAACAACAACAACAACAACAACAAAAAGAATGATGAGGCTTTGCTTCACATACTTTGAGCATGTTGCTAGGATGTGTTATTCCTTGGAAAAGGATATGGTGCTGGGAAAGATGGAGGGTCAGTGAAGGAGAGGAAGACCCTCAACCAGGTGGACTGACACAGTGACTGATGCAGTGGGCTCTTGTGTGTCAGGAAGTGTGAGGATGGCACAGGACAGAACGGGGATCAGATCTTTGGTTCTTGGAGTACCTATGAGTCGTACTCGACTTGACCACACCTATCATCATCATCATCATCATCATCATCATCTCAAGGTAACCCAGATTCTGGCAATTCTACTCGGTAGCTGATGATGAGTCCAGAAGAATAAGCAGCTTCTAAATGCCAACACATCATATTTTGCATGTCGTCCTTGAACAGGGGCCATGCTATCTTCTCTGTATCATTCCAATTTTAGTGTATGTGCTGCTGAAGTGACAGTATATTTTGTAAAATGGATTTTAAGTGACTGTTAACAGCTTTAGTTTGCTTGGCTCCACAATCAACACTCTTGGTACCAGCAGCCAGGAAATCAAGAGATGAATTGCACTGGGAAACTCAGCTGTCAGGGAACTCTCCAGAGTACTGAAGAGCAACAATGTCAGTCTGGAGACTAAGGTGCATCTGATCCAGGCCACAGTCTTTGCAATTGCTTGCTATGCATCACAGAGCTGGACAATGACTAGGGATGATAGAGAATTGATGTCTTTGAGCTGTGGGGCTGGAGAAGAGTTTTGAATATACATTGGACTGCCAGGAGAACAAATAGGTTTGTTCTAGAGAGGGTGAAGTCAGGCTGCTCCTTGGAGGAAGGATTCTGAGACTTCGTCTGACATACTTTGGGTATGATGCAAGGAGGGACGAGTCCTTGGAGAAGGCCATCATGTTTGGAAGGGTGGAAGGACAGAGAAAGGGAGGAAGACCACTGATGAAATGGATTGATTCAGTGACTGGGGAAACAAGGGTAGGTGTGTTAGAGACAGTATAGCTGTCACAAGATAGAGCAGGTTTTAGGGCTACTGTACACAGGGTTGCTATGAATTGCAAGTGACTTGACGGCATATAACAATAACAACAATTTAAAAACTACAGTGTTAGAAAAATAATTTGGAGATTTAAAAGTCAACTAATCATAATGTTTTTTCTTGCAAACATCTATAATGCAAGGTACAATTAATAAAAAGGAGAAGGATTTAAGAGTCCCAGTTTTGGGGCCTGAGCTTTTCACACTTTAGATTTACTAGTACCATTGAGTCCATTCTGACTGACAGCAGTCCTGTCCCATACACTTTCCAAAGGCTGTAAATCTTTAGGGAGGTGGGCTGCTATATCCTTTTCCTGTGGAGTAGCTGGTAGGTTTGAACAGCCAACCTCCATGTTATAAGTCAAATGTCTTAACCACAGTGCCACCAGAGTTCTTTATATATTAAAGGGGTAACTCTTTTTATGGCCACAAACTAGACAATTAGCAAATGTTAATCATCCATGAGTTGCCTACAACTCGATGACACTTCAAAACAAGAGCAACGAGAGCCCAGTTGACCTAGTGGACAAGAAAGTCATGCTTACTAAGCTAAAGGCAGGTGACTATAATCCGCAGCCCTCAGGCCTGGTTTTAATTGTTTTTGGTCAAACATTCTTCTAAGTGGTATAGCACTGGTCTGTCCATTTGCTGTACAGAGGTAACTCATGGTTGCTGTGATGCTAAACAATGTGACCCTGATGTGTCAAATGCGATAATGGTTACCCATGGTGGACAGTGTTTGATGGAGCTCTCCAATTAAAACAAGTTTGGAAGCAGGAGTGGCATCCACTTCCAAAATAGCTTGCCTCTGGAAACCGTATGAACCTGGAGAAATGACGGAAGTTATACAAGTGTTCGGGTCTTTCGTTCACAGGGTCGCTATTTAGTCTCTTACGACTTGACAGCACTTCACAACAACAATCATCAGTTGGAGCATTCATTTGTGAATCACAGCAACATCATCTGCTTACCTGGGGAGAAATAAACTGGGGAGGCACTTGCGCCCGGAGATTAGGAGAAGAATTTAGTGGTTGCACTGGTGTGTGCATACCTCTCGATTGTGCTGTGCTATTTCCAAACAAACCATGATTGCCACCCTGTAAACACAACAGCAACAGTTAGGTCTTTTGTTAACAACATTAATAATATCATCATCATTTTAAAAAAGGCAAATCAGAACCAGCTCAGGGTTCCTAGTTCTCAGAGGAACCAAAGTGTGCTCACAGACTTTTTTAACTGAGGGGTTCCCAATGCTGGAATGCTCAGGAAAGGGGTTCCCATCCAATCATGGCAGATTAAACTCTGTGGTGTATTCAATAAAGTGAAAGCACTCAATCTGATCGAGTGTTAGAATAAGCACTGAATTATTATTTGTGGCTTAAATAAAAGGAACATTTATTTCAACCACTCTCTTTTTCTCCCTTCATTTTACCACGTTTATTCTCAAACCTTATAATCGGAGTCATTTTGAAAGGCAGCTGAGTAGGAACAAGATCAGCTGGAAATATGGTGCTATTATAGTACTTCTCTGAACTGGTTATTAGTTCCATCTCAAAATCAACGCCATCCAGTTGTGAACCTTGACCCTTGAGGACCCTACTCTAGATCTAGATACATTTCCCTGTCCTGGGTTCACTTGTCCCCTTTTCTTTGCTAAATCAGGAATCCCCAATCAATAGTCAATCATAGTGATAAAAATGGGACAAAATGAAAATCATCACAAGGACACCAAAACAGGTATTACTCACCTGCATCCCTTCAGTCAAATGTCCAACTATCAGAGTCTAGACAGAAATAAGCTCAATTCCCTGGAGGACCAAATCACTGGATAATCAGGGAGCTGCTCGGAGTCACTCTGGGCTACATGACCTTTCCTTCCTGACTTATTTCCAGCTGAGAAAAGTCCCTCAGCAAAGACACCTTTCATAACAGCTTCTCACTGTGTACCTTCTAACTGAAGTTCTTCTCTGCATCGTGTTCACTCAGCTTCTTCAAAGTCTTGCCCCCAATCTCCTGTGTTTCCCATTCAAATGAACTGAGTCCACCCAAGTATACTTAAAATGCTTTAAAGCTCTCACTGTATCCACTGTCAAACCATATTAGAGTTATTCTCCATCACCAGTTTCATAACTTCCCTCTTTGCACTCCCAGAACTCAATAAAGCCCCTGGTCTGTAGGATGAGCACATCATTTGCAACCTAGCAATTCCATGAGCTGCAGAGCATCCCACTGAATGTGTTCAGTGAAGACAGCCACACCACTGTGCAAAGGGCGGACACTCTGAAGCCACCACTATCCTCTTGTTTCTGGAAACATGGGTTATTTTAGAGAAAAAAATTTAATACCATCATTAAGTTTAAGAGCAATAAAGATATTGTGATGGCTTAATAAATTAAAAAACATTAAGAGATTGCTATAGGGAAATTAATGAACTTAAAAAGCACTGAAAAGAAAAGTGACTGTGAACATAAAATAGAAATGGCAATTAAAATCTGTGTATCTCATAAAAGAAAATCAAAGATCCACCATAAATTTTATGTTTCTCAGAGGACTGTTTAAATGGAGGGAAAAACCCAAACTAATCTTTTCATTTCAGATACACTAGTATCTCTGCTTCTCCAGTCTTACTAATCAAGCCACCACTTTAAGGTGAAATGTTCAGCTCTCACTTTTCCAGGATGGTAGGGGTCTGGCTAACAGTTTGTCTACTATTCATTCCCAGGAAAATAGGAAGTATTCTGCTATCATCTTTCTCAATTACACTTCAGTAGCAAAGCCATGGCTCTGTTACGAGGTCTCAACTATATACAGACTGCTTTTCGAATGATGGGGTTTCTGTTAAAGTCCTGGGTAGAATTCATGACTAATTTGTGACAGTATAAGTATTTAAAAGAACTAGTTTTTAAAAACATATATAAAATAAGGTCCTACTTTCTTATTCTCAGTAAGTAGACTCAATCCATCTATCTTGCTCCATCTATTTATCTATTTGAAATAGACAAAAATGCCTTCTCTGTATTTTAATACCGCATTCTGACATTACAAGCTGTTCATTTCCATGGCTCAGATGCAGCTATCTTGCACAAGGATGTCTCAGTGATAAGCAGGTGAGCCCTGTCATTTTGGGGCTTTTATTTGGAAACTAGGAAAAGGGTGAGATGTGTATGTGTGTGTGTGTGTGTGTAAATCTGATCTCTGCTTCTAAGCTGTACTGTTTGTTGAATTTGAGGCCTGCATGAATAAAGATCTATTTCTCTGAACAGATTGGTGAGATTTGTTTTAATCCAACTCTTAAATTCAGAAAAGCATTTAAATAAAAAACAAAATCACCAAGTTTACTGAAATGTTCTCTTATTTAGAATACTAAAAGCTTAAATTTTCTTTTTAAATTACGGTGACTCTGTAACAACAGCCTGAGAAAGTCATGGCTGTTTTTGGATCGGCCATGCTTGCTGAGCTTGTTAACAATGAACTCTGGAGCAAGCCACAGGTCAAAAAGTGAAAAATGGCCTTACTTCATTGGTCTCCTACACTAAAGTTAATGTATACCAACTACACTGGTTAGTTATATGATCCTGGAAAACAAGTTTATAATCATCACTAGTCAAAGGGAGGTTTTGATATTTCTGTACCTTAACACAAAACAAAGAAGCCAAGCAGCACTGACAGGGCTATCTCCTCTGTTTATGTAAGACAGATGTAATATCTGCATCTGTTGTGGAAACATGTGAACACATGGATGCACTGAGATTTTTTTTTTAAACGTGCTCTGGCCATCATTAGAGAACCTATGAGAGACATATGGATCCCCTAAAGAGGCTAGCATTAAAAAGGGGCTCTTTCCCATCATCCTTTAATTGATACAGAGTGAGTCTTCATGGGGACACAGACGGATTCAACTAATAATTCAAAAGTCTCCCAAGAGATGGTGAGGTGAAGGCCATGACACAGAGCAAGTGGTCATAAAACCATGGCTAGTCAATGGTCTCCTTTGGAATCAGTCACAAAAGCATCGTGGCTTCAAGTCCTTTGTTTCTCTGCAAATACCACAGCAGAACAACTGTGGTGCAACAGACAGAAGCTGCTGTGTCGCCTCTGTGCTGGGAAATGGAGGAGCCCTCACTCCAGCAGCCATACCGATTCTGTTTCTCTTGCACAACACTGCCTTGGAGGACTGCCAAGCCTGACCCCAGGAAGGGAGCTGTTCCAGGTCTAATGAAACACCGCCATGTTACAATATTCCCTGTTCTCCCCCAAATGTCATTATGTAAACTGCAAGTTATTTTCTTCTGGATATACATGTCATTTTCAGTGCGTAAGAATGCTCTAATCGCCAATGCTTAACCTTCTAGTTTGCCATTTGGATGAGCAGGTTTATTAAATTTTAAAAGCTCAAAAGTATGACTTTGTCATTCAATCAAACATGAAAAGTGGGAAATACATTCCTAAATTAGATCAAAAAGTTAACCTTTAACATTTTCCAAAGTTAGTTAAGTGTGTGACGTAATGATAAAAAATGAGAAGACAAAAGAAATAGATTTAACAGAAAATCCAGGTTGAGAAACATGGAAGAAGATGGGTTCTGTGGAATATAGGATCTGAACCCTACACTGAGTATCATTCTGTGCATTCAATAATCAACAAATTTCCCAAGACAGACAAATGATGTGATAAACTGCAGACCAGGGCCCAGGCAAGGCCACAGCCAAGCAGTCATAAATTTGAGAGGCCTTCTTACTTGTCTAGCAGCGAAGTTTTGGGGGTTGAGCCCTGTGCCGATTGCTCCAAGGCTGACGTTGGGTAGTGTGGAACCAGAGGGAGACAGCTTGTAGCTGGGAGAAGGGGAGAAGGGAGAGCAGGGAGCCTCATCCCCAAGGCACCCATCTTGATTGGAGAAAGGCAAAGTCAGCTGAAAAGCAGTAGTTGTTAGCCAATCACAATGAGTGTTGGTTAGTGAAGCAACAGAATGCAAGAAGGGAAAAGAGAGAAACACCAGAAACAAACAAAGTTAGACGGATTAGCAATCAACGAGGACAGAATTCGGACCTCCTCCTCCTCCTCACACCATTTGTCACTAACTTTGATAGAGAATTTTCTTTTCATCTAAATTAGTAACACATTCTGTCCACTGCAGGAAGAAAAACTGCCAAACACTTATTTTTATACATCTAAAACAAATTAATCGAACTTGGTGGCTACAGTGACAGAAGCCAGGGCAACCTTCCCATGAATGCTGCTACCTCGGGCAGCCTCTGAGCACAGTAAAAAATGTGCTGCATCTAACAGTTTTGGTTTTGAATGCCTTTCCCGAGTCCCAGAGCAGGACCACTGGGATTCTGAATCAAAGGATAATCTCTCTCCTCCACTAGAATGTTAAACAACAAAATCAGTATGTATTGACTATAGCGTGGAATCAGGTAGCCGAGAATCTGATACTCATGCCATTGTAACAAAGAGGATGTTACTAGGAAAAGGGAAGCATAAAGCAAGGGTTCTCTTAGAAAAACTAAAAGAATAAAATTTGTGGCCTTCTTTTCAAACCGAGAAGGGAATAGCTTTGTAGACACGGGGTATTTGAAATCAAACCCAAAATTTAATTTGTAGCTGTACAGCGGCAGAAAAAAAGAATTCCAAAAACACTGCTCTCTAGAATTGTACCTGTACCTTTTGAGTGTGCCCGTACTCCAGCGTAAAACGTCAGACTCTTTGCCTACTAGTCATGCATTCATCAAAGCTTAGCCCTTCTTCACTCCTATTCTCAGCACAGATGCTCCTGACCCATCACCTGATGACATCAAATGTCTGCATGTCATCCTTTAAATGAAGGTGATGTGTGTGTTTCGCTCATTACGGAATGTGGTTCAGTCATTCTATGCTTCAGCCTGGAATCAATTATCAAAGACAAATGGGAACCAAAGTGGTTCTCACTAATTAATAACCTGAAATGAAAGATTCAACTCACCTTCTCAAAATAAGGCCCGCTATCTGTGGTTCCCATGTCTTTGGAATTAGGGGGACGGAACCCAGATCGATCCTTCCTCATGATATCATTAAAATCCCCGAGATTCACTGCTCGCTTGTCCACGTCAAACTTTTTATCTGAAAGGCTCCCTAAAAACAGCACAAAGAGAACAGAAATGCCAAAAATCACTACCTCTGTTACAGTAAAGAGGGAGGCCTCACTATCCCCCCCAGGGTGCGGGGCAGCTTCGTTTACTCTGCAGGACTGAGACACTCAGAGCTCTTGCTGGTCCAGAGGACCCTCCCTGGTCCACTGCAAACCTCCTACAATGTGTCTTCCAGAGACTAGATTACAGCTTTTCAGCTAATCTGGTAAAAATCTGGCTTAAAGAAAATTCTACTATAGACTGATGTGCTCATACATTCAAATACCCTCAGTGGCAGAACCTGTGTCTCTTTGTTATTTTACCATCTGCTAAATGGTCAAACGAGGGTATGGAATATTGTAAAATAAAAATCCCAATCTCACTGTCGTCCAGTGGGTTCCAACTCAAAGTAACTGTCGGATAGAGCAGAGCTGCTCCATGCACAAGCAGATGGCCACATCTTTGTCCCACAGTCTGCCCCATCATTTAACCAAGCTAAGCTACATGTCATCAAGGCTCTTCTCAAAAATATTTATTGGGAATAAAAAGACAAAAGAGGGAGTGACTTTGCTCAATAAAGCCAGGAGTTGATGTGTCCCTGTACAGCAGTATCTCCTAAACGCAAAGACGCCCTTTCTCAGCTCAGCTCTTTCAAATTGGCACGTTCAGTGCCCTGGGAAGTCAGTTATCCTTGTGTTAAACACAAGATTGAATACTGCCACTTTCTTTTCTTCCTGGTGTGATTAATTTTAAAGTCATCTTTTGAAAAATGGGAAGATCTGGCCATGCCGAGACTGATTTCTCTGATGACTGGAGCCAGACTGACCTCTCCAGGAGGCCCAGACACTCCCTGCTGCAGAACAAGAGCTCAGTTTCCCTTCATGTGTTCAGACCTGACACCCATCACTCACTGGCTCTTGCAGCTGAATTTCCAACCTCTCTGTTTGTGTACCTTCCACAGAGCAAGCACTCAACACATAATTTTTGAATGGCACCTACAGCAAATCGAACCGAGCAAGGGTTCACACAGGGTATCATTAACAGCAACATATTCCATGCCTACCAGTGGTGAGATACACACCTACAGACAGATCCATTTTACTGCTTGGACTATCTTCCGTTTGACTCTGAAATAAAGAACCGGTGAGAGAGGATTAAAGCAATATGTCTGATCAGAGAAGTGTCATCATTTACCTGAGAGGAACATCTGCCTGCTGTATAAGGTATTAGCAATGTGAAACTGAAACAGACTGTAACTTGCTGTTGCCATGGCTCGTGTGGGAACTTATGGAGCCCTCATGGATTAAAGATTAGAATTTCAACCCACAGGGTTGTCTTTTTTTTAAATTTTTTACGGGTGTACTGTGAAACTGGATCTGACTGGTACCGGAGACTGCCTCTCCTTCTCCAGCAGAGCATCTGGTGGATTCAAACCGCGTACCTCTGGTATTGCAGTGCAGCTTCTTCTACTAGGCCACCAGTGCGCCCTTCTACCCACAGGGTTTTCTTGATTGTAACTTTCTCTGAAGCAGATCACCAGGCCTGCTTCTTCTTCAGTGTCACTGACTGGGTTCAGATCATCAACCTTTGATAAATGGCTGTGATTACTAGGCATCTTACTAAAATACTTTTAAGGCAATTAGTTGGGATTGTTTCTTGTGCATACAACTAGCACTGGTTACGTTTATTGCCAGTCTTTTTTGTTGTTCTTTTCCAAAGTGTTTGGGGGTTTTTGTAAAGTTTTGTGTCAATGCCTGGGGTGTGCATATATTTCTATTTTGGGGTGGTGAGTTTTGCACATTTCCCCCCCTTTCCCCTCCAGTCCATTTTACAACACACCTTGTGTCCAGATTATTATCATACATGGAACTCCTTTCAGACAGTCCTTGCCCTCATCTGTTCCAATGCAGTAATTCATTATCTATGCATTCTTTTCCTATTCTTCCCAACCCTGCCATGGCAGTCCCATTTTATTATAGCTGTGTTATGCAGGACTTATCCTTTCGTGACTGAAATATTTCACTCGATATACAGTCTTCCAGGCTCACCTATTTTGTGTAGTGTTTTACAAGTTCATTGCTTTCAATGCTGTGTAAAATTCCACTACGTGAATGTACCAGTTTTTCTATCCTTTTGTTTACTGATGGGGCCTTGGGCTGCTTCCACCTCTTTGCTATTGTGAACAACACAGCAATAAACATGAATGTGCATATATCTGTTTGGGTGGCAGCTCTGATTTCTTTAGGATGTATTCCTAGTAGTGGTATTGTTGGGTCAAATGGAATTCTATTTCCAACTTTTTGAGGAAGCATCAGACTGCCTTCCATGGTGGTTGTAGCATTTTACAATCTCAACAGCAGTGAATAAGACTGCCTGGATTTTTAACTCAATTTTCACATGCAATTAGCCTAAGTCTACAAACAGAGCAAGAGCTAAACAGCTGCAGAGAGAATAAACCCTTGTCCTCAAGTTCTAGTCGGACCAGGATCAAATTCCATAAGTGGCAGCCAAAAGATGACAACTTCTTCTCGTGACTTGTCAAGTCATCAAATCTTGAAATGTGCAGCCAAGTCATCGTCCGTCTTTTGGCAACCAGGGACAGGGTGTCCCCACAGTGTTCTCAAGAGAGAAAAAAAACCCCTTAAGGCTACAGAATTCCCCAACTAGTTAACACCTAAATATGTTTCTAGTTACTGAATTCCTGCTGCCTTAAGGATATATTACAATTGCAGGGTTGTCAGCAAACGAACAGCGCAAACTTTAAGCGCCTGACTTTCCCCCACTTATCTTCCCAAGGAACAAGATATACCAACTAAAAGTGAAATGCTGTAACCTTTAAATGTTGGGACTATTTCTAAGGGAAAAGAAAAGAGCACAAATATTACTTAATCCCAAAGATGAACAACACTGCCTTCAACAGGTTCTCCGTCTGTAATTTTGTATCGTACGCAGCAGGAGTCTTAAAACTGTACTAAACGTTAACTTAGGATACATGACATTTATGAGAGAGAAAACTTACCAGTAATCCCATATTTGAAAACTGTTTGGCAAGCGGATTCATCCATGAATCACTGGTTCCTCCTTTTAGTGAGCACTACAGAAAAGAAATGTGTAACCTCAGAGTCAAAGAATTTCTCTTATTTCACATCCTTGCTGGACTGCCTAAGTACTAATTGAAAATGCAGAGCTCAAAGCTTACCTCTGAAAGAAACCTCAACTACTCTCTTTAACTATGGTATTTCTGATGGTTTTTTCTGTTAACTGATTACCAAGATTTAGTTGTATCTATGTTTTAATGTTATTTTATTTATCACATTCAACAAGAAACAACTGGGAAAATACATTGTCAGCTAGTATTTGTATTTTTAAATAAAAGGAAGTCAATACAGAATTTTCTACAGTAACATTCTTGCACACTGGTACTTTCCCTTTCAGTAGGCTGTTCTCCTTGTAACCCAAGCTAGTTTGTACTAGGGAAAAAAAAAGAAAGGGTTTGATGACACAGCATGCTTTTGGAGAGGGGCCTATTTAAACTGGTCATTATTCTCTGCACGGGTGCAATGAGGAACTCACTCACTCACTGTCGTAGAACTTTTGTCTGGGTATTTTACAATATAAAAGATATTCATTCCCCATGGAGACACACCCCCAGATCCTGGGCAAGAGAGAGGTGGGTGGGGTTTTCTGATGGGACAAGATAGTTTCTACACTGAACATGGTTCCAATCTTCAGCTCCACTGTTCCTTCCACAAAAAGGCAGGTGGATCTATGCAGGGCAAGGGGGGGAGGGCAATGCCAGGGCTTTGTGTTGCACAGGGAAAATTCTGATTGCAGTAATGATGACTAAAACTGCTACACTGATTTTACTCCTCTTGAAAATGATGAAGTACTAATCTTAAATTCAGCAACAGGTTTTTCAGGTCAAAAAAGCCTGCAGCACAAAAGGACCATTCACTCACTACCACTCACTGGTCATGGAGCTGAAGCATTTACTTCCCCATTACCTTAATTAATGAAATCTTGGCTGTTACCTGAGTCAGGCATTCATTACTTTTCACTCATTCACTGCCTTCCAATTATCAGTATTCTGAATTTTCTTTTAATTTGGCCTCCTGTTAACTTGTAAACAATCAAAAGGCCAAAAGCAGCTTGGACAACAAAAGAGTACAAAAAGAAAGTTTACGGACTCATTTCTTCTGGAATCAGAGCAAGGAAATGGAAGTCCTTAACTAGAGGAAACGTGAATGACAGCAGAAACAAAAGTCTGTATAAAACTCCCAAACCGTTTCAAGAACTCTTTCTGCTGAGCAGTCCTAACTCCTGGCAACCCTGTGTCTGCAGACTTGTGCTTCACAGGCTCTCAGTGCTGGCTGTGGAAGGAGATCCTCCCCACAGGCACGAAGGACGAAAGCCCAAGACCTCAGCCACCTGACTGCCCTCTGATGTTGGCAACTGGAATTCAACTCGGGGGAACAGAAGCATCTTACAAAGGCAGCAAGACTCCCATGTTGGAATGAAATATATGGCTGCTTATTTCTTACTTAACACCAATTTATCTGCAGACCAAAAAGCTGGAATGAAAAGGAATGTTTCAGCTAAGAGGGTGGTCTAAAAATTACTGACTAGATTAAAAACTAAAGTCCTCAAGAAATGTTGCAGACTCAAGAGGAAATGCAATTTTCTAAAATATGGACAGTTAAAAGTTTATGACACATTGTGGTATAAGATGCCAAAAAATCATGTAGTTCCTGCAGCAGGATTACATATCAGTAATACCCTTTGATTGAGAGTAGCTGAGAGGAGGATTCTGGGTCTTGGAATTTCCAGAATTACGGAGAGGGGGGACCTAGTTCTGCTGCTTGCCCCAAGAGAAGCCAGTATTATTTTACTTTGGTTTCTCTTTTACATATTCATAAGGATTTACTGTAAGAACTTTTTTGGCTTTCAAATGAAAAAGCACCAAACATTTATAAAGTATAACTTGATAACCTCCAAAGAATTATTATAATGTGGAAGAAGAAGGGGGAAAGTTAGCTGTTTTTAAGAAAAAAGAGCTTCCCTTTTACTTAGACCCTTTGATCCCAGCTCTGCCTTCTAAGAACATAACCATGCTCCAGAATGTGCAAAGACAACTACCTTCATTTGCTTCTTTCCTCCTTGTCCCCAGCTTGCTGAGTTGTGGGAGGAAGCACTTCCCTGAGAGCCGGCGGTGTTCCAGACTCCTCCATCATCCTCCTCTTCCCAGCTGGGATGGCGAGTTCCTGTCACTGGCCCATCACTCTCCCCCCAGCCATCTTGCATAGATTTGGAATCTTTAAAGAAAGATGGAATCGACTGTATGAATTAGCTGTATTTTGCAATAACCACAATCCTAATTCTTTGCAGGTGCAGCATTTTAGTACCTTTATTATTTTTAATACCTTTATTATTTTATCTACTTTATCTACATGGCAGGGTAATTATTATTATTATTCTTATAGAGACCAGGAAACTGAAGCCATAAAAGTTCAATGATCCAAGATGACATTTACCACAAATTAAGACCTCCCAACTCAATGCTTCTGCCCCTATGCCGAGTTGAGAGGAAGTGCAAAGTTGAGAACTTATCACTACTTATAAGAAGTTTCACATCTCATTTAAACGAATTTGGTCCTTTTAATATCCATGCTTTCCTATAGTGCTAGCTTTTATGTATACCATGTCCTTTACATGTAATGGACACGATAGACAGGAAAACAGGAAGGGAAATAGTTTACACTGTTTGGGATGAGTGGAGAAGCAAAGATCATAAAGAAGGTAAAAACCAAAAAACTCTGTAAGAGGATATCAAAATTAAGGTGAGAGAAGGGAAATTCATATATAACAATGTTGTGTGCTGTTGAGTTGGAACCATAGAAACTTAAAATCTGTATACTGCTGTTATGTGTCATCGGGTCAGAACCAAATCATAGCTTCCATTATTTGATGTTGTTCTTCTGTGCTGTTGAATCAAAAGTGACTCATGGCTGACCCTCCAGTGGGTTTTCAGAGGCAGTAAATCCCACGGGAGGAGACAGCACACTGTTCTCCTGCAGAGCAGCTGGTGGCTTCAAGCTGCAGGCCTCTGAACTGGCAGTGCAACGCCTGACACTAAGCCAGCAGAGTGCCCTATTATAGATTCAGTATATAAATTTATATACTGATATATATTGAAGAGATGCTAAGCAAAGACAACATGTAAGCAATAGTTTCATAAAAAGATGGGAGGAGTTGTTGTGGAGGGTCAGAGAGAAAGGAAGGGAGAAAGGGCAATAGGGAAAATCAGAAGTGCTCTAGTGAACAAAGAAGCAGGACATTAGGATGTAAATCTAGTCTACAATATCTGTTTCTAAACAAAGCCTTCCCTTTGGTGACTGGTTAAAGTTCTTAATTTCTTTCTCATGTTATTTCACATATTTCAAAGATGTATTTGGTAGTAACGATGTAAGTAATGGAAGGGGAAAGAAATCATCTTGCCTAGAAGTTCCAGTGTACACATTCACTTCAAAAAGTGAGAGGATGTTTAGCAAAAAATGCTATCATTTCGTGAATTTATTGAACAGTTTATGTTTGTTTACATGCTGCTTCTGCTGTTAGGTTCTATACAGTTATTATGGTTCATAGCAACCTTGTGAATAATAGATCTGAGCCCTGGCTGGCCTCCACCATTGTCGATCTCTGCCATGCTCAAGCCCATCGCTACAGTCACTGTGGGAACCCATCTCATAGAAGGTCTTCTTCTCTTTCACTGGTCCTCCACCTTTCCCAGCATGGAATCTCTCTCCGATGACTGCTTGTTTTGAAAATAGGATCAAAAAGTATGTGGGACAGGTCTCACCACGCATGCCTCTAAGGAGCTCCCCAGGCTGCATTTCCTCTAGGACATTTTTGGTGGTTCACAGCATATTAAACACACTTCTCCAAGAGCACAATTTAGAGGTATCAACTCTTCTATCATCCTTATTTACCGTCTAACTTTCAAATTAATAAAACAACTGAAAATATCATAGCTTGGACAAGATGCACTTTGATTTTCAAACGGGCACTGTGTTTTTTAGCACTCCATAGGTCCCTGACAGCAGATTTTCTCAATGTAAATACTTTTTGATTTCCTGGCTGCTGCAACCGTGTGTGTTGCTTGTGGATTCAAGTAAAACTATGAAATTAGAAAGTAAGGTTGTGTTATATGCCGAATTCAGGGTATTGAGGATTCCTCCTCCAATCCTGATATTGTATACTTCTTCATATAGTCCAGCTTTCTCAAAGGATTTGCTCTGTAGACTGACTGAATAGGTATGAGGAAAGGATACAAACACATACTGTTCCTTATCTTAAGCCACAGTGTTCCCTTGTTTGATTAAAACAACTACTTTTGTTTTATGTATGGGTTTTACATGAACACAGTTAAATGTTCTGGGGTTCTTAATGTTAACCATAATTTGTTATGATTCAGATAATCAAATGCTTTTGCATAGTCAACTATGATGTTTACATAACAAGTTAGTTTTCCAATCACCAGTCCATCTATAAATTGTTCCAGAACCTTGGCTACAATCTATACTGCAGCAGCACTCTCTCCTACATCTTCTTCAGGTTTCCCATTTTCATTCATCTGGTACCCCTGTTCCTTCCTGTCTTCTTTCTCATCTTTGGTTTTGGGCAAAAGTTGACCTTTTGGTCCTACAGACTTGATCATCTCAAGGGACACTTTCTTATGGGTGCATTGTTGTTGTAGTTAGGTGCTCTCGAGTCAAGTATGACTCGCAGCAACCCTATGAACAACAGATCTGAACCTTCTCCTATTCTGTGCCATCCTCATACTTCCTGACACTTTAGAGTCCATTGTGGCACCTAACCTACCTGGTCGAGGATCTTCTTCTCCTTCGACAACCCTCTATCTTTCTGAGTATCACATCCCTCTCCAAGGCATAGACCCCCCTATCAACATGCCCGAAGTATGTGAGGCATAAGCCTCATCATCCTTGCCTCCAAAGAGCACTCCGGCTGCACCCTCACTAACATGTATTTGGCAGTCCATGGGATGTTCAGTACTCTTTTCTAACACCACAGGCTTCAATTCTTCTGTCATCCTTATTCACTGTCCAGTTCTAGCAAGACCATCACCTGAATCAAATGCACCTTAGTCCTCAAACTGACATTATTACTCCTAATAATTTGGAGAGACCTCTAACTGCAGACTTTCCCAGTGCAGTATGTCTCCTGATCTCCTGATGGCCTGTACCAATGGTGTTAATTGTGAATTCAAGTAAGATAATGTTGTTGGCAGTTTCAATCTTTTCTCCATCTATGATGATGGTGCCTATCGCTCCAGTGGTTAAGAATCTTTGTTTTCTTGCCGCTTAGATGCAATCCATATATTGAAGGCTGTATTCTTTGATCTTCTGCAATAAGTGCTTCAAGTCCTCCTCACTTTCAGCAAGCAAAATTGTGTCACCTGCATAATGCTGGTTATTGATGAGTCTACCTCCAAAACTGACACCACATTCCTCTTCATAGAGTCCAGCTTCTCAAAAAATTTGCTCAGTGTACAGACTGAATAAGTACGGACATAGAATTACAACACTGACAACTCCCTTCTTAATTTTAACCATACAGTATTCACTTGCTCTGTTCACCTAACAGCATTGTGGTCTAGTCTTTGCGTAAGTATGATTAAGTACTCCGGGATTCTCATTCTTCTCAATGTTGGCCATAACTTGTTATAATCCACATTATTATTATAAAGTCAAATGCCTTTTCATAGTCAATAAAGCATAAATGATTGAATGCTAAGTTGCTGTTATGTGCCACTAAGTCGCCTTCAACTCAAGCATCCCTATGTAAAACAGCTCTGAACCCTGCACTATCCTGAGCCAGTCTCACTGACTCCAACACATCTAAACCATTGTCCCAGTTATCATGTCAATCCATCTCTTCTGAGGTCTTCCTTTCCTGCACTGTCCTGCCACCCCTCTTAGCATTAATGTCCTTTTCCAAGGACTGGTCCCTCCTTGCCATGTGGCCACAGTATGTGACAGAGCTTCAAAATACTTGCTTGAAAGGAGAAACTTGGTTTCACCCTCTCCAAGACAGAGCTATTTGTTCTGGTGGCCCATGGTATGTTCAGTACTCTTCTCCAGCACAACAACTCAAAAGCTTCAATTATTCTGTCATCCTTAGTCACTGTCTAGCTGTCTGATGCACAGCATGTAACTGTGAAGATAATGGCCTGGATTAGATGCACCTTAGTCTCTAGACTGACATCACGGCTCCTCAGCACTCTGGAGAGGTCCCCGGCAGCAGACTTCCCCAATACAATACATCTTTTTGATTTCCTGACTGCTGGTGCCAACAGTGTTGAATGCAGAGCCGAGCAAGCTGAAATTGTTAACAACCTCAATCTCTTCTCCATCTATCATGGTGCTTTTTTTTTTTTTTAAAAATAAACACTTTAATACATGTGCTAAAACGGGAGGGAGAATTATTTGCCTTTCAGTGCCTTGATTTTCCTCAGATAGAATTCCAGCTCCTTGCCCTCTAGCACATAACCATCTGCGTGGCCATACTGGCCAGGCCTGGAAGCAATACATGCAAGAAGTTTGCCTTATTGGAACTGCTCCTCTAGAAGACTGGTGATTTTTGCATTCTTTTTCCTTTCATCATATTTTTTCTGAATTTTCTTTGATCGCTTTTTGTTTAAAATCTCTTCCTCCTCAGGAGTCAGCTTAGTGGCCTTCTTGCGATCCAGGGTAGCGCATAGTGGGACTCGTACCACTGGCGGTATGGTGTGCTGTCAATGAGCATGATGCAGTTCTTCACGAGGGTCTTGGTTCGGACCAGTTCATTACTGGAGGCGTTGTAGACAACATCAATTATCCTTGTTTTGTGAGGACAACATTCAGAGCCCCCGAGAAGTTCCCCATATCCAGTCTTAGGACAGGGTACTTCTTCTTGTGTCCTCACACACAAACTGTGTGTATACAGCGGGGGCCAATCTTAGTGTTGGCAGCCAAGCATCCCAACTCAACTTCTGCTTCTTGTGGTAGGGGTTTCTCTTGCCCTCGGTCTTGCAGCACTTGTGCCGGTTGTCCCGGGAGATGCCTGTACGTGAGAGCGGAGGCTTGAGCCCTTGGAACTTGGGGATGGAGCCTCCAAGTTCCAGAACCCACACGAGGGAGGGCCACATGCTAATCTTTGTCTTCTTAAGCTTCAATCTGTATTGAAGACTACAGTCGTTGACCTTGTGCAGCAAATGCTTCAGGTCCTCCTCAGCAAGCAAGGTTGTTATCTGCATAATGCAGGCTGTTGATAAGTCTTCCTCCAATCCTGATGCCACATTCTTTCTTTCATAAAGTCCAGCCTCTCGAATTCTGTTCTGCATATAGACTGAAAAGGTATAGCGACAGGACACATCCCTGACACTCTCCTTTCCTGATTTTGAACCATTCAGTGTTTCCTTACTCTGTTCTGATGACTGCCTTCTAGTCCAAGTATAGGTTATACATGAGCACAATCAGGTGTTTGGGATGCCCATTCTTCTCAAAGTTAGCCGTAATTCATTGTGATCTACACAAATGTCTTTGCATTGTCAATGAAGCACAGATAGACATTCCTCTGGTGCTCTCATTGTTTATTTTTATATATCTGTTTCATATTTGCTGAAAGGTGGCATCCAGAGGTGTCTTCAGTTTCAAATTAGAAGGTTTTTTCCAAGGCAATTATCTTGGAAATTCCTCGTATCCCTTCTAGACCAGCAGGTCTGAACCTTTTTTAAAAAATTTGAATTTTGTTCTGAACATTTCACGCACTCTAACGAGTCTTTCCTATTGTGAGCAACCACAGCCAGGCACCATCTGATGATTCTGGTCTCAGGTTGGAGGTCACATGACCATTAATCCCAGAGTGCAGTTGTTTCTGTGAGCATTCATTTTTCTTTGTTCTCTATTGCTCAAGGCAGGAAGGGACCAACAGCTACTTTTTGGATGGCTGCTTACAAATGTTTAAGATCCAAACGCTACTCACCAGATGTGCATGAACATTATATTTAAGAACTGAATTTTGGGAGCTCTGGTGGTCTAGTGGCAAGGAGCTGCAACTACAATCCCAGAGGTGCATGGTTCGAATCCACCAGATGCTTTGCCGAGGAAGGAGGGACAATCTCCTCCTGTACCAGTCAGATAGAATTTAACAGTACACTCACATAAAAATAATAATAAAAAAAAATTAAAAAAAAAAAAAAGAACTGAGTTTTGCCCACTGACCTAGGTGTCTTCCAAGACTAAGCTATTTAATTTAGATAGCTCCATATGAAGAATTTAAAGCTAAAAATATGGCCCTTTCAGCCTTTTCATCACTTGACTGCTATCACTCCCTGGCTCAGGTTGGTGATAAACACATTAAGTGTCACCAGGCAAAGGACAATGGCATCTCACGCTATAGAAAAGCCCAAGTGAACTAAGAGTCCTCCCATGGGGTTCATCTTAGCTATGGAAAGAGCCTTCTAGGTGGACAGGTAGGCGCACAGCTGAGATCCTGTTCTTCCTACTAATGGAACTGCATTAATAAACAGGGTTGTTGTCTTTGTATGACTCATTGTCACTGAACTGACTCCAGTCACAGCAACCCTGTAGGGCAGAGGAGAACTGCCCCGTTAGGGTTTCCAAGACTCTGCATCCACTGTGGAAGAAGACTTCGCCTCACTCTCCTTCCTGCCTTACAGATTTGAAATGCTGACGTTCTGGTTAGCAGTCCAATGCCTTAATTGCTATGCTACCAAAGCTCCTTTTACCTGGGCATAGGGAACGAAAAATTTATGTGACTGATTTATACTATGTGTAGGCTTTTCCTAGTCATTGTCAAACAGGAATAAAACACTCAATATTAAAAAACCATATACAAAGACATCCAGAAAACCCTAGAGAAAGGAGAGGAATTTTGAATAAGCATTTTCTCAGAAAAAGGTAAAAATGACAGCTCTGGTTTTTAATCCAAGGACATCAAATAAAAGACATTTTCACAATATCAACTGGTCGTCTGTGATGATCCAGTCCTTCCTGTGTGTATTACACATTTCATGTCACCCAGAGAAAGGACATGAGCATTAACTACAGAAATCCTCAAGAACAGAAGCTGTTTTTAAAGTCTGGGGGTAAATAAGGATTTTCTAAGGTGACTATGAGGTTGGGAGAGAAGCATGCAAATTCTGAAAGTGCAGCTGAAGGACTTCTTTGTGCCAAGGGCCTGGTTAATGTCTCCCAATAGCATTCTGGATCTATTACAAGTCTACCAGATGATATTTCTCATGGTAATACAACCAACTTCATGATGAAAACAATCTCTTTATAGAGCTATTTTTGTCAAGTGGAGTTGCCTTATAGTTTATAAAATACAGCCAAGTTACCTAGGCACAAATGGGAATTTTTAGAACAGAGATAAGCTCATATTCCTTCATGCAGCACAAACAGTCCTAAACATCACACACTAGATTTCCCAAAGGAATTGTTTTAGAATTCTTGTCCCACTTTTAACACACTTTAGTTGCTGTTGATATGTGCCTGTGTCAGAACTGACTCCTAATTGCTCCACCACTGGGTTGCCAGAGACTATAAACCACATGGGAGGAGACTGTCCATCTTTCTCCCTCAGAGGAGCTGGTGGATTCGAACCGCTTGCCTTTGGGCTGGCAGCACAACTCCTTACCATTAAGCCATCACTCTTTAGTAGGAGGAGTGCATAAATTAATCAAAAGATGACTGATCCCTTAAATCTGCTATATGGTCAAAAAGACAGTGGAATATTTTTAAGTAAGTTATAACCAAGTGAAAATGGGCACATGGAAATTTTCAACTTAAGAACCTCCAGCGAAATATTCCACATCATCAGTTTATAAAGTTTTGCAAGTATCTGACTACATATCACCAGCTGGATCAAGTATAGCCTAGATTTTTTAGGATTACGAATAAGATTCACAGGCTTCGTATAAACATTCAAATGAAGAAACCTTTTCTGGATTTAAAAAGCTTTAAATGTTCCTCTGTGGGTGGGGGTGTCAGAAGAGAGACAAGGGGGAAAGGAGTGAACAGGGGGAGGATGAAGTCACTGGGCAATGAAGACCACATTCTACATTAAAAGCCAGTGGAGGGGAGGGGTACTTATTTTCAATTCCCACTAGCAGAAAGGTGAAAGAGATACGGCAGAACAAAATTAAGGCACTAAGCTATTAAAAAAAAAAAAAGCATCTAATAAAAAACTAAGTTCTGCCTAGCTAGGAAGTTTAATTTAAAATGAAATTAACAAAATGACAAATACATATTCCAAAACAAATCACTTACCAGTACTTGCTATTAACCATATGTTTAAAAAAGTCTAGGCCCTGAGTCTCAATGGAACTTAATTTTAAACATTAAACAGCCCTCACGGTAGGTCTGGCCCTCCAGTTCAGAGAGAGTCCCTGCAAGGGGAAAACAGCGCATACTCACTAGGCTTCATGGCATTTGGAGCACTGGAAGGTGTGCTCCCCCAGCCTGTGGTCGGTGCTCCTGTCTCATCCATTGCGCCCCACCCAGGACTGCTTTCATTGGGCTCACCCCAAGCTGAAGTACCATTATCTGGAGCAGGTGGTGTGCTTTTGCTCCAGACTATAAAGAAAAGAAATGTGTTTCTAAGAACGATTTGTTCAATTAGACACTGTAATATCCAGTGGGAGTGACAAGGGAGTGGGGGTGGGAGAACATTCTGTTTGTAGGAAAAGAAACGAGTTCAACCTTCATGAAGGCCGTCTGGCAATGTCACTTAAAAAGGAAAATCTGATCCACACAGCTTTTGACCTAGTAATTCCATTGCCAGGAAATGATATCTCAGACATACTAGTAAGTGAAGAAATGACATGTAAGACAATGCTCGTTGCATTGCTCTTAGAACAATATCTGGAAGCAACCTATTTGGCTATCAAAAGGGGACTACATTAATCCTACGTCATTCCATAAAATGAAAACAAACGAAGCAATGTAAAGACAGAATTGTATGTGCTGACAGAAAGCACAGGTGGTAGAGCCAATTACAGAAGGGGAGAAGGCGACAGAGATGGACAGATACACACAGAGACCCTCGGCAGCACAGGGTGGAGTTACTTGCTGGGTGGCTAGCCCCAAGGCTGGCCTAACAGCAGCAGAACCAGCTCCCACGGAGGCTGACCCTCCATCGTACTCTCTTAGAGCAGCTAATTGATGCAAACTGCTGACCTTCTGGTTAGCAGTCCAACATGTAATGCACAATGGCCCCCTACTTCTAAAAAGCAGTTAAAATTAACAATGTGTTAAGTGGATTTACTAGACACAGGCTTATTTTGGAGACTAGGTAAACTCATTATTAAGGTTTTACTTGTTAATGTAAAGAAAGGCTTTAAGGTAAATACCCTTATTTGCTGAACTACATGCATTACAAAGACAATTTCAGCTAACAATGTTAATTAAAATAATGTATCAAATCACCAGTTTATTTTTAATAAACGAAGTCCGGTAAATAACTATCAGTGTCAAAGATTTCAAGCTTTTGAGAAAGCCTCTTGTAGATTTCTGGGCAACTCAATGTTGTGAGACTATGATTCTTTTCTCAAAGATCTTTCCTCACTTTCAGATTACCAACACTGAAAATGTTCTGAAGTGACTGGAACATCCCAGATACCAGCTGTGTGAAGTGTCCCGCTGGCCTCCAGGAAGTGCTACGGGTTTATGGTGAGCCCGTGTGTGGCAGAGCAGAGCTGTGTGCCACAGAATTTTCCATGCCCGATTTCTCGGAAATTGCTTGCCGGCCTTTCTCCCAAGGCATCTATGGGTGGATTCAAACTCCTAACCATTGGGTTAACAACAGAGTGTGTTCACACTTGTACCACCCAGGGACACAAACACACAGCATATTTCCCTTTGCTTGGGAAACACAGAAGGTCTGCCTGTCCACTGACAGAATCACAGAATGGAAACCAGGTCCTCTTTGGCTCCTATTTTGTTTCTTTACTCTTCCATCCAGAGCAGTTTGTTTAGCAAAATAGAAGACAAAATTTTGGACTCTTTAGACCAATACAGTTTCAAAAAATAATCTGGGCGCTAACAAGGTGCCATCTTTTCCTCCTGCCAAGAAAGAGCATTAAGAAGTACTTCCACCATCTGCAATCACTACTGTTTTACAAAAATTGTCTACCACAAAAACAATAGAAAGAACCTCAGAATGCTTAGCTGAATGTACACAGCTTAATATCAATACTTTAGGATTTCTTTTTTTTTTTTCACTCAAACATCTGAAAAAGGAAAAAAAAAGCTATTGCCTACTTACCTGATGCTGATTTTCCGGTCACTGGGGTAGGCAGGTTTGGTTCTCGAGGTGCTGGGCCCCCCTGGGCATTCTTATCCCACAGATTCACATTCTTGTAGTTGTAACTGTTGGGGTCTCCCCACGCAGAAGTGCCGTCATCAATGTCCATTTTCCGACTAATTGACTGTGGCGACGGCTCTTCCCAGCCGCTGGGTTCCTCGTCCTTGGGGGTTGCTGGCTGTGGCCCACTGCTCCAGTTGGAATTGGAAGGTCGTCCATTGCCTGGAGGGGGTGGGGGTGGGCCTCCCCAAGAGCCAGAAGTCTCTGGTGGGGGCGGCGGTGGCTGCTGTGGCTGCTGCTGCTGTTGGTGCTGTTTGTTCCAGGAGTTGGGCTGCCGGCCTGTCTCAGTCCACGCTGGAGACCTCTTACAGTCTTCCCACCCGCCTTTGGAAGTGATGCTTGCGTTCCCACCATTGCCCCAAGTTCCAATCTCATTCTGCCCGCCTTCACCCCAGCCTGACACAGGTTTATTGGAAGAACTCTCCCAGGTGCTGTTTTTTGCTTGATCGACCTCCTCTCCCCAGCCATTCTTCCCAGAAGTCCATCCTTGACTGGGCTGGCGTCCACCTCCCCAACCCTGATCCTTGCTGGAGTTCTCACTCCAGCAGGAGGATGTCTTCTCCTCTGGCCGCCCTCCTCCCCAGTTGGAAGAGCTGTTGTTCTTATAGTCATTCCAGCCCCCTGTGCTCTTGGGGTCTTTCCACTCTGTCGAGGCTGAGAGCTCCCCCCATCCAGACTTCATGTGATTGCTTTGGCTGGGTGCATCTCCCCAGCCCCCTGAGTTCTTGGTCTGTGTGGCAGCGCTCTCCCACCCCTCAGTTCCTTTGTCAGATTTCCCCTCAGGCCTTGGCACCTCTTCAATATCCCACACTGTGTCCTGCTTAATTTGAGTTTGGCCCCAGCCAGTGTTTGAAAGCACCCTGGGGTCCAAATCAGTTCGGCTCAAAAGAGTCTGCAAGACAGCCTGACAATCAGGGTGTGTGGGCCTGTACGACCGGCGACCAGAATTGTGACTGTCACTACTTCCTGCTTTGTGGTTGCTTCCAGTGCTTTGACCCCCAACTTCACTTCCTGTGGAGCTGGAAGATCTTCCCCAACAGGGAGCCTGGGCATTGCCTTGGTTTTCAGGGAGGGGGTGGCCCTTTTGATTGTCCCATGCTCCAGTGCTAGAATTTGGTTGGTTTGGACCACTCCATTCTCCAATTTTCAACTCATCAGACCCAGTCGGCTGTTTCCATTCTCCCTGAGAGACCCCAGATGTCATTTTGTTCCCTTCACCCCATTTGTTGTCATTAGAGTCCTGAGGGCCAAAGTTCCAGGACCCACCCGTAGACCTGTTACTGTTGTCCCAAGAGTCATTTTTGGACCCAGTTGATTTCTGAACAGAAGCTCCTTTCCAGGAGTCCTCTCGATCCTTTCCATTGTTCCCATTGTTTCCAGAATTGCTTTGTCCAGAGACTGTGTCAGTTCCAGAAGGCCCCCTAGCTGCACCCCAAGATCCAACACTCCCAGGCTTCCAATCTCCAGTGCTTTGTGAAGGGGCATCAGTGCTCCTGGAGGTGTTCCCCAAGCCCATTCCAAAGGGCATTCCCTTATTCTCCACGGGGTTTGGTGAACTTAAGTTCAAGGAGTTAGTGTTTCCATTTTTTGGTCCATCAGTGTTATGAATTTGAGCCTGTTCTCTGCCAGAGACAACAAAATTAACACCCGCATTTTCCATCTTTGACGGCTGTTCCCTGGACGCCTGACCTACTGTGCTAATCTGTGCAATGGAATTACTATTCTCTGTTTCCAATGCCCCTTTCCTAGAATTTCCTTCTTGAACCAGCGCTGGCCAGGCAGATGGGTTGCTATTTGGGTTAAAGTTGCTGAAGCCAGAGCCAGGTCCAATTCTATCCTGACCACTCACGTTCCTCCAATTTCCTAGTCCATTGTTACTCTCTGTAGCAGAGCTGGAAGATTGAACAGATTTAGCCTTAGGATCAGACTTCCAGACCCCAAGATTACATTCGTTCCCGGAACTCGCAGACTGGCACTGGCTCCCTTTTCCTTTGTTACTAGTGGTGCTTCCTGGCAGAGTGCTCTTCTCAGAGCCAGGGTTCGAGGCACTGTTGTTATCGGTGGTGTTTTCGGAAGAAGACTCAGTGTCTTTGCTGGCAATACAAGGCCACTCTTCCATGTCAGACTCGTCTACAATCACCTTGTCCCAGATGTGAATTGGGTTGGGGGAGGCGCCGTTGTTGGAGGAGGCTCCCGGGCCCCAAGTGGAATTTGCATAATTTGAAGCAGCAGCACCTCCAAGGGTTGAATCTGGAAGAGAGCGGTTCATCAATTACACCTACAATGGATGATCCATAAACACCTTAAGTCCTAACTGTCCTAAAAAGAACTAATCACTGTTCCCCACAAACTGGCTACTCCACCCAGGTAGGTACCTTCACTAACTGTATTACTTTTTTTTTTTTTTTTAAAAAGATGTACTTTTCCCTTTTTTCATTTAAATGAAAGTTTACAAAGCATGTTGTTGTTGTTGTATACCATTGGGTCAGAAGCGAACCACAGCTGCCCCTCCAGTGCATTTTCAGAAACAGTAAATTGCATGGGAGATTGCCCATCTTTCTCCCACAAGGCAGCTGGTAGATTCGAACAACACACTTTTGGGTTGGCAGCTCAATTCCTTACCACTAAGCCACCCAAGCTCCCTTATAACACATAATGTTTCTTTAATCACTCATTCATACACATTTTGTTCCATGACAATAATTATTACAATACCCACGATGTCTGAACATCCATTCATCCCATATTAGCTTTCCCTTCACTCATCTTAATAAGTGTTTATTATCTACTAATTAATTTCCGACACCCCGCCCACTTCTCTCCTTGGTAACCACACTAGGAGGATTCTTTCTATGGATCACAACTCTTCCTTTTCATTTCACATGGTTGGTCTATTTTGCTAACTGCACAAACTCTCTTAAATTTCCCATCATTCCAACTGGCAACAGAAAGGCTTGTTTTTACCCTGCAACAACTGCAATAACACCTCATATTTGCTTTCTACTCCCAATGTATTTTAAAGACTTGTGGCTGGAGTCTTTCAGAAGCACACCTTGATGAGAACACTGCCGTGGCAAAGCCTTTCAGCACTTCCTCAGTTGCAAGAAGGAAGCTCACATGTTAGGTCTCGCAGTCGATCCAGATGCTACACAATCAGGAACCAACCAACCTTAGTCTTGTCTATAAAGATGCCCACATCCCAAGCTACCTGACACTCCACCACAATTTGCTCTTTCTCACCTTGCCATCCTACTATTTTTTCCTCCTGAACTCATGCTGAAATTTTACTCTCCTTTCTCGGTTTAAGAAAACCATTTCTTCCACAATGCTCTTTTGGGCTCATCACCTGAAAGGAATCTTTCCCTGCTTAGAATCAGTGTGCTCAGAGCCACTGTGTTTGGGTTTTGTTCTCTGATCCTCCTGTTAGCAACTTAAAGGCACAAACCACAGTTAACCATTTGCAGTTCCTCACTGCAATGCCACTCTGGAAATCTCTGGTGAACGATGAATGCCCAATGAACTAGGTACTGAGGGCAAATACATGGGAACTGAACAAAGTAAACATCCTGAAGGAACTCAATCAGATTAAGAGCTAAGCACATGTTTACCATATACAGTGGAGATAAAAGGACACACTGAAGAATTTCTTCTAAGCTTACTGTTATTCTTTTAACCAGGCAGTTATAAATCAACATGAAGTTGGAACAAACTATATAGAGCCATATTTTTTTTTAAGGCTAGACTCTTGAGATTGAAGGGCTCCGTTGGTAAGGATTACGTAAACAGGAGGCTCTGACTCACGCTGGGCTGATGTCTACTGTGAGGTCTGGCTCTGCTCAGCAGGAGAAGTGCCTGACGTGACCACCCCCTTACATACTTCCTTGCACAAATGGTTACAAGTGGCAGGAACCTGGCTGAGGCTGTTCTCTGGCCACGCTGGGCCTGGCGTGGCAGGCTCCCCACAGGAATCCCTCTGTATGAAGCCTGTGCCCTGGCCCATTCACCTTCTTTCTTTTCACTCCCCACGTGATGAGGGTGAGGTGGGCTGACGGGAGTTTTCTAGGCAATTCTGTGTTCAAACCCTCAACTAGAATAATAATCTGTAACAATCACTGACCTCTAGCCTTGTCAGTTTTGGATAGTATTTAAGCTCTGAAGCTTAATATACCTCAAGAACCATTCTAAGTGTTAAGCGGACATTTGTTAATTACCTAATAAAACAAAAGCATTCAGAAATTTCCCTTTGATTCAATATGTATCTATTAAAAAGCTCAAAGAGAACTCCTTAGATAAAGCTGTCTTCTTTCTAGACAGTTTTTACCTCAGTAAAACAAGTCATAATCCAATCAATAATCCAATTAATCATGATCAATACTGATTTGAAAAATCAAACAAGAGGCTATAGGAAATATATGCATGTAAAAACACATACATTTAGTAATGCACTATTATTTGGTATAAACCTTACTGTTTTAGAGAAAGAACACTCATCCTCCTAGCATTCCAGAAACATGATTTTGAAGATCCAGGACAAGTCCCCACTCCAGTGCCATTCACAGTCCTGTTCTAAGCACACACCCGTCTAACAGCTGAACTAGAGTGCCTTAGAACAATATTGCTTGTTTGAGAGGAAAATACCGTAAGAATAGCAATCCCAAATAATGTAGTAAAATTATAACAGTAGTCGCTTCTCACACTGAGAACCTACGCTGGCAGGGCAGTAAGACCAGATGATAAAAGAGACTCAGAAGAGATAAATGCTCACTCACACCCATTTCTGGCTGGGTCTTCTTCCCTCTTCGAACAATTCCATGCCCATGGCTAAGCCCTTAGGGTTCTCTGAGAAACCAGCCACTTACCTGGTGCAGTCCCACTGTCCCCCTGCAGCAGCGTTCCTGTCACTTGTGCGTTGTTGGGGTTTGCTCCAGGCGCCGTGGAGGGAGGAGGCCCCGCTCCGCCCCCGAGGAGCATGCAGGATGGTGGAGGGGGCTGCCCACGTTTTAGTAACACTTTGTGGTCCTGCTGGCAACGGAATCGCGGCGGCACCTCCCGAGGCATGTAGCGGGCGGTGCTTGGCGGTTGTCCGTTCGGCACTGCCACCCTTTTGGCACTGTTGCCACCATTGACTGGTGGCGATGGAGAGCTGCCAATGGGGCTGGCGGCCGTTGGTTGGCTTAGACTTGGTTTCGTCACTTCGGGCACTAGAAGAGAGGGTGGGAAACAAACTTTTGATGTCAAATAGTTTATCTAAAAAATTTTTTTAAAAAGTTTGCATGAGGCCACGTTGATGTTTACTAAGACAACTCTTCTTTTGCTCTACTCTAGAGAGGCCTGTTCTTTCCAAACTCCTGAGAACCTCATCAATTTTCTGGAGGGGAGTTGTGGGAGCTGGCGACTCAAAAAAAAGGGGTTGAGACCCTCAGCCCAGGCCTCCTCCTCTTCATCCACAGTCATAAAGACCTACCTTTGAGAAACTCTTCCTGAAATCCCTAGACTAACAGGTGGGCTGAGTAGCTTTCACTTCTGCCCTCAGCGCTGCTCTCTGTTCTCTACCACAGAATTTACCAGATTACAGGGAACACTTCATTTCTAGGCCCTTCCCTCACTCCCTGGAACCCCTCTTTGACATTTTTGTTCTTTGGGTCTGCCCAGGTTAGCCCCTGGACTTGGTTTCTATAGCACCCTGAACTCAAAGAATTGTTTAACCCCCATTAGTGACCTGGTGGGTGAGGAGCTGAATTCTCAACCCAAAACCAGCTGGTTCCAATCCATCAGCTGCTCCACAGAAGAAAGTTGGACAATCTCCTCCAATGCGATTTCTAGCCTCTGAACACCTGCTGGAGGGTCAGCTATGAGTCAGTTCTGACCCCACAACGAGTGTGAGAGATTTTTTTGAGGTATAATCATTAGAAAAGTGAATCTTTCGGATTGTGTAAAAATATTTTTTTTAAAATAATTTTTTTTTCAAGTGCAAACTTAATGTGGGTTGGTTGGTTTTTTTTTTAAAATAAACTCTAAAACTGTAAAAGAGTGGCATCTACTTCCTAAACAAAATGGCTCAGAAACTCTAAGAGCTTTGATAAAAGTCATTAGTTGTAGAGGGGCTTCAGGCTTTTTGTTCAAAGGGTTGCTATGAGCCGTGCTCGACTCGAAGGCAATCAACAACAACAACAACACACAGATACACTCTTTAGTATATGACTGTTTTACCTTAATTTTTAAAAATACCAAACAGGCATATGGAAATGTGTGCGCAAACTAGTACACTCTATTGCGCTCTATCGTGGGGAACCTTCAAGTTTCCCCCCTCTTAACCCTACAGAGAAACTAGTCCCATCCTATGAAAATACAATACTTTTCTTAAAAAATCTAGCTGGTGAATACAAGTGGTAGTATTAAAGAATAATCTTGTGCTGATATGTATGAGTCTGAGGTCAGCCCCTCCTGCCATGCAGAGGAAGCGGGGTGTGTGTGTGTGTGTGTGTGTGTGTGTGTGTGCGCGCGCGCGCGGTGTCAGTGCCTGACCCAGAGGAGTCTGAGGCGACCCTCTCCTGCCATCCAGAGCAATGGGGGGCAGAGTTAATGACAGTGCTGTTTTAAACTGCCAACAGGACACTTATATACCTGTCCCTTTTATGAAGAGAGACACACACACACACACACACACACACACACACACACACACACACATTATCAGAAACCAGGAGGGCCAATCTATACCACCACAGACACTGGCTAAACAGGTCCCTGGAAAAACTTCAAAGCCAGCCTCAGTCCTCACACTAGGTAACCATGAGGCAGAACTGAGCCTCTTAGGAAGGAAGGAAGGTCAGAGGGTCTACAATCTGTCAAGCAGAGCCAGTAAGTGACTAAAAAAGACATTAGCCATTGTCCAATATTAGTATAATAGTTTTTCTGACCTCTAACTGTTGACAGACAGATGACTGGCAAATGAGTGAATAAAGATGAACTGTTTAATGACTGATTCATTGAGTCTGGAAGATTCTGTAGCATACATACAGCCTTTCCATTTCTTTTTCTTCTTAGCATGCAATCAAATGAGAAACTTGCAAAGGTCTCTTAACAGGTTTTTAGTGTTGAAGTAACGTTTTTTGTTGGGCTGCCCATATATACCAAGGCTAGACCTCCAACTTTATGTTAACCAGCTCAGCTATTTGTCGTCTTGCTAAAAGAAACAATAATGCAGTTGCAGCAACTCAAAGGTCTGAAAAATGTACAGATAGCAGGACCAAGATATCAACATCAGTTTGACTAGTTTCACAAGATGCAAAGCATTGTTTTAATCAAAGAAATCTGGTATGCATCATAACATAGTGCAAGATTTCTTGCAAAACCTCCTTAGGGCATTTCCCCCACCATTAATTACATCAGTAATATACTGGACTTAAAAAATGATAAAGCCATCATAAATGAGACCACACACTTCAAGTGCCTTTCTTCGAACAAGGGGCTCTGTCCCTGGAGATTAACCATTCTTAATTCCAGGATTAAAAACCCCTCATTGCCCTCATGTCAGAACTCACTCAACTGACACTCCAGTGGGATTTCAGAGGCTGTAAATCACATGGGAGGAGACGTCGCATCTTTCTCTTAAGGTGGTGGACTTGAACTGGTTCACAGTACATCTCTTTACTCTAGGCCACCTGGGAACCACCACGCTAACAAGAAGCCTGCAGCACACATGCCAGTTATGAGGAAAGGGATTTTCAAGGATTGAATGAATTCTTAATTTTCTCTTTATTATACCATTCTGTGAATTCTTTATAGTACAATCAGAATTCTTGACAGAAGAGAGTAATACAGGTGGCGAGGCAAGAGGTCCCATCCAACCTCATTTAAGACAAAATCAGCGTGTGAACCTTTAATGTTCCAGAATGACAGAGGACAATGAGAGAGAGAGATATGAACATTAAAGCAAATACTTCCTCAGCTTTGTCTTTCCTTTTGAGAAACTGTAAAGGTTGGTAAGTTATTGCATAAATATTTTTAAAGATAAATTACTTAAAAGAAGGGCACTGATTTCAATATTTAAGGAAAAAGTCTGTGGCTTCCAGGTGATATCTGTGTAATTGGGAATGAAGGTGAGGGAGGCAAGACAAAACCACTGTGAAAAACGCTACTTATATTCTTTTCTAATTTCCATCCATTTACTCTTAAGAATCATTCCAAATATCCTCTTTATCTTACACTATCCTCTGATAACTAGGAAGTGCTGGTGGCCTAGTGGTATGAAGTTGCACTGCCAACCCAAAGACAAATGGTTCGAATCCAACAGCTACCCCGTAGGACAAAGATAGGAAATCTCTTCTCGTGTCATGTACAGCCATGGTAAACCACTAAAAAAATCTGAAGATGCTTCTTTTACAAATACAAGTGTTCTTTAAGAAAATTCTAAAAGGAGCAGGAGGTTTGAAGTTTTTGTTTTGTTCTTAAGTCCACATGTAAAACAAACTCAGTAACTGCACTGGACCAATACAAACTAATATTCCTTTTAACCACTTTGATGGTAAGAAGCTCTGGTAGCCTAGTGGTAAGGAACTGTACTACCATACCAAAGGTATGTGGTTTGAATCCACCAGCTGCTCCATTGGAGAATGATGGACAATCTCTTTTCATGCGATTTATGGCTTCTGGAACCCCGCCTGACCGTCGGCTATGGGCCAGCTCTGACTCAAAAGCACACAACTACTACTACTACTATTACTACTACTTTGATGGGAAGGAGTCCTGGTAGTATAGCTGCTAACTATAGGTTGAACCCACCATTTTCTGTATGATAAAGATGCAGCAGTCTGCTCCTGGAAAGGTGTCTGGCCTGGGAAAGCTGACGAGGCAGTGCCACTCTGCTAAGAGCTGGAATTGACCTGACAGCAGTAGGGTTTACCCTGATGCTCCCACAGGTATGGAAACTGGCACCTGCTATGTGTGATATACCGCCCGTGACTCAAACTCCTCATCAGCTCACTGTCAGCCAGTATGAACCGGCTCATAACTGACCCTCTGGAGGGTTTTGGAGGCTGTAAACCACATGGGAGGAGACTGTCCATCTTTGCCTTGCTCAGTGGTTGGTGAATTCAAATCTCCAGGGATGTGGCTTTTGGGTTTAGCAGCACAACTCCCCAGGGACTACGCCATCAGAGTGCTCGGAGTCAAGAGTAATTGGTTACAAAGCAACTGAAACCATCCCAGGTCTAACGACAGTGACAGCTCATGTCTATGGATGCATTTTCCGTGATCTCTGAGCATTGTCTCCATTTCCTTTCCTTTCTCCACTTGTTCTTAACCCAGGGTACCCTGGCTTTGGCCTTGAACCACTGGCTTTGACCACTGAAAGTTTTCCTCCTCATTAAGGCACCAGTGGCTTTACAGCCAGCCCAGCGGGTATGTGCTGGTCCTTTTCTTCTTTGGCTTTTCTCCAGGTCCTGGCCCTGCTCACTCCATCTCCCTCTCCCGTGAGATCCTCCACGGCTAGCTCTTCCTTTTCCCCCTTCCTTTGGGGGCTTCTCACAGCCTTTACCAGGGGTCAGGGGTCATAATGCCTCTGTAAAGGGCCACACAATGAATATTTCTATATAAATATTTAAAATTAAAAACGCAGGCCACCTGGTCCCTGTCATAACTAGTCAGATGATATGTAAATGCCTGACTGTAACTATGTTCCAATAAAACTTCTATTAATGGATATGGATGCAAATTTTATATAATTTATCCATTTCATGAAATTGTGTTCTTCTTTTGATTCTCCCCCCTCCCAATCATCTGAAAATGTGAAAAATATTCTTAGCTCATGGGCAGCACAGGAGTGGGGGTGAGTCAGCTCTGGCCACGGGGCCTTCCCTGCCAACTTATGCTGTTGAAGAGCGTGAATTAGAGCTGCAAAATGCCAGTTGAGTGGTCATGAGTTGCCTTTTAAAAACAAGATATACTCAGGTGGGAATGCACTTTTTAAAAATTTTAAAAAATATTTTATTTCATTATTTTTTGTGTGTACCGTTAAATCAGATCTGACAGGTACAGGAGGAGATTGTTCCTCCTTCTCCAGCAAAGCATCTGGTGGATTTGAACCATGCACCTCTGAGACTGTAGTTGCAGCTTCTTTCCACTAGGCCACCAGAGCTCGCCGGGAATGCACATTTAAGAGCAACTTAATGTGCAGATTTTTACTATCACTTTTATGCAA